CACACTGTCCAATTTATTTAATGACCAGAGGGAGGTAAACAATGACAAATAAAATCTACAAAATGATAAATCTCTGAGACCCCAAAAGCAAATTAAGCAAATCTTCAACATAGTACAAAAAACCAGCATTTACAAAGCAAAAGATCACCTTTTTTTAGACAAATTCAAAGCAAACTTTACTGCCTTCTATTTTCCCTTGGTACGTATCTGCCTCCAGTCCTAACATGCATCCAAATTCCCCCAGAAAATGCAATGGTCTCTATGGCAACCAATCGCCATAGCAAAGAATTACATATTCACACAATCTTGTCTATTAATATCTCCAGCCTACCTTTACTTTCTGAAGTCCTTCAATTTGTTTTAAATTTTTCCCACAAAGCCATATTTGAATCTCTTCAATTATGGTTCCAAGTACCACATTGTTAAAGTCACAACTGATATTCTGACTAACTATTATTGTGGTAAATTATTCCATCTCATCCTCTTCAATATGTTTGCAAACTTTGACTCAGTTAATCACACCATCTTCCTCCAATGCCTCTGTAGTGTCACTTCAATAGATACCATTTCCCTCATTTGGTTCCATTCCTAATTATCAAGTACAGTAAGAGCTTGACCTGCAAACATTATCTCCCTGCACTCTCAAAGTTTCCTCCTAATTCTTATTCAGATACTGCCCTTTTGTGAATTCATCTGAAAACACATCAAGTTTCACATTAATGTTGACTGCGGCAGCTCTATCTCATCATCACCTCACTCAACACCTTCACTTCCTCAGATTTCTCATTTACTGCATCATTTAAAAACCAGTACTGCATATGCAGAAATTTTTCACAACTCTTCAGCAAGCATTGCCACTCCTATTCTTATGATGGAGGGAAGGTCATCGTCCAAGAAAATGTCCAGCCATCTTCAGCTGCTTTATCAAAGACTTTCCCTCAATATCAGGTCAGATGTAAGGATGTTTGCTGACAATTGCAGAATGTTCAGCTCCCTTCATGACTCCACAGATAATGGAGCATTCCATATCCAAATGTAGTAAAGCATGAACAATCTTCAGGTTTGAGTTGACAAGTGACCAGTAACATTTGCACCACGCAAGTGTCAGGCAATGACCATCTCCAACAAGACGGCATCCATCACTACCTTGACATGTAATGGCATTGCTACCAAATAGATCACCCACTGTCAACATCCCAGGGTTACTAATGACAAGGAACAGAATTAGGTTAGCCATAATAATCCTAAGGCCAAGGTCAGTCCTACAGGTAAAGAGTAAGCTGTCTGAGATTGGAAGGTAGATCATTGGGGGTGCTGTTGCAATAACCATCCGGGGCTGGCCCAGTTTTTTTCCTGCAATGAGACCAAGGAAGTGATTGAATGTGATGGAAACGGATACAAATGTGCTCATGCATGAGCAGGAGATGTGATGAGGTGTCCCCAGCTAGTAAGTAATATGTGCAGAGGGCAAGAAGATTAGTAGCTTGGGGCAATGAGGTGGATGTGAGCCCTTGAGTGGATGTTATACACGCGAGTTATACACTCAGTAAAGTGATGGAAGGTGTCATCAACAGTGCTATCAAGCAGCACCCACTCAGCAATAATCTGCTCAGTGACGCCCAGTTTAGGTTCCGCCAGGGCCACTCAGCTCCTGACCTCATTACAGCCTTGGTTCAGACATGGACAAGAGAGCTGAATTCCAGAGGTGAAGTGAGAGTGACAGCCATTGACATCAAGGCTGCATTCAACTGAGCATGGCATCAAGGTGCCCTAACAAAACTGGAATCAATGGGTATCAGCGGGCAAACTCTCCGGTAGTTGGAGTCATGCCTGACACATAGGAAAATGGTCGTGGTTGTTGGAGGTTAATCATCTCAGCTCCAGGGCATCTCTGCAGGAGTTCCTCAGGGTAGTGTCCTCGGCCCAACCATCTTCAGCTGCTTCATCCATCATAAGGCCAGAAGTGGGGATGTTCGCTGATGATTGCACAAAAGTCAGCACCATTCACAATTCCTCAGATACTGAAGCAGTCCATGTTCACACGCAACAAGATCTGGACAATATCCAGGCTTGGGCTGACAAGTGGCAAGTGACATTTGCACCTTACAAATGCCAGGCTATGTCCATCACCAATAAGAAACAATCTAACCACCACCCCTTGGCATTCAATGGTGTTACCATCAGTAAATCCCTCACTATCAACATCCTGGGAGTTATCATTGACCAGAAATCAACTGGACTCACCACATAAACGCAGTGGCTACAAGAGCAGGTCAGAAGCTAGGAATGCTGCAGCGAGTAACTCATCTCCTGACTCCTCAAAGCCTGACTGCCATCTACAAGGGACAAGTCAGGAGTGCGATGGAATACTCCCCACTTCCCTGGATGAGTGCAGCCCCAACAACACTCAAGAAGCTTGACACCATCCAGGACAAAGCAGCCCACTTGATTGGCACTACATCCACAAGCATTCACTCCCTCCACCACCAACGCTCAGTAGCAGCAGTGTGTACTATCTACAAGATGCACTGCAGAAATTCACCAAAGATCCTCAGACAGCACCTTCCAAACCCACGACCACTTCCATCTAGAAGGACAAGGGCAGCAGATATATGGGAACACCACCACCTCCATGTTCCCCTCCAAGCCACTCACCATCTTGATCTGGAAATATATCGCTGTTCCTTCATTGTCACTGGGTCAAAATCCTGTAATTCCCTCCCTAATAGCATTGTGGGTCAACCCACAGCAGGAGGAATGCAGCGGTTCAAGAAGGCAGCTCAACACCACCTTCTCAAGGACAACTAGGGATGGGCATGAAATTCTGGCCAGCCAGTGACGCCCACATCCCACAATTGAATAGAAGAAAAAAGATACTGAGGTTTGTAGTCCACCAGCCTTGGGAGGATACTTGAACAGTAATAATGTTAGGTTGTGTGCTAGCCTTTGGGTGTGGGGTAGCTAAAAGAATATGGTGGTGCTTACCCTTGTGGAGCAGCTTTTGCCGCACTACTGAGGATCCCTTTTAACATGGGACATGGCCCTGATCTGTGCTACAATTTCAATCCAGGCTGGCTGGCTCTTATAGCCTGGAACCCTTTAAACAGTCAGTAGGAAAGAGCCTCACTTTCCTATCCACAATCTTATCCACCAGCATCTCCCTGGCTCAGAAGTGAGCACAGCCAAACAGCTTAAAGGGAACACTAAGTGCCAGAGGTCATTCCTGGCTTGCAGCATCTGAAGCGGTATGCAGATGGGTTTTAAATAAAATACTAGACGTGTGAGCTGGAAGATCCCAACATTGGGCTAGCAATTCCACCTTTCTGGGTCACTTGATTGCCGAAGAAACATGTTAGTCATTTTGTTTGCCTAATTAATGTGAGATAAGTGGAAGACCTTGAGAGAAAATTCATCCTAGGACATGGCCATATGAACTGGACATATGAAATTCACTCAACAGCACATTAACTGCAAATGGGAAATGTTAGCCCTAAGTCTCTGTTACTAAAACCCAGAGTCCCAAATGCCTTAATCACCACTTTCTCAATCTGCTCAACCTCAACAATTTGTGCCCCTATGTCTCCCTGCTCCTGCACTGCCTTTTAAATTGTATCTTTCAGTTTTGCCTTTCCTCATTCTTACCAAAATGAACGTACTTTTTGGAATTATATTTCATCTGTCCATCTATTTCATCAGTTAATTTCTTCTTGAAGTCTGTCACTGTCCTCCTCATAGCTCACAATATTTCCAAGTTTTGTGTCATCAGTAAATTTCCAAATTGTGCCCGGCATGCTCAAGCTCAGGTCATTAATATACAACAGGAAAAACAGTTGTCCCAATGCCAGGGGATCTCCACTATAGTCTAAAAAACAACAGTTCAACTCTGCTTTTTATTTTCTGCCACTGAGCCAACATTGTATCCATGTTGCCACTGCCTCTTTTATTCTTTGGGTTTTGACTTTACCAACATACCCGTCATGTGGTACTTTACCAATGACTTTTGGAAGTCCATGGATAACAAATCAACTACTTCACCCTCAGCAATCTTCTGTTACCTCATCAAAATGCTCAATCAAGTCACTTAAACACAATGTGGCTTTGACAGTCTGTATAGGCTTCCTTACTGAATCCGTATTCATCTAAGACACTGACAATTTTGTCCCTGGATGACCATTTGTAAAGGTCTCTAAGAAATTACGGATCATTTACTTAATCATAGCAACTGAAGTGCGAGGGAGTAAGGGTTGAATATCAAATAAAAGCATTTTGACAACTAAGTCAACAGTTAAAATGAAATAGTAAATGCTGCTCCTTTATCACTTCTCTCATACAGTAGTGCTCCTCCAACATCCTTCTCGAACAGTGCTATAGCTATCCCAATGTGTCAGTATATCTCTCCTAGCACATGCACAAACACTTGTGTAGGCCCATATCCGTGTAAATTTCTTCAACCCTAGTTTCCAACATATTTTATTTGTTCCTTTGAGAATCACTCTCACTGCACTCTTATTCTCCCCATCCACCTTTGTGTGATAGAATTAATGAATTCTAGAAGATCTACCTTAAGCTGTCAACCTTGCTAACTCTATGGACAGCTTCAGAAGCCTACACAATGTTCTTTCTTGACCATACTTTAAACCACCACTTTGGACTTTTCTACTTACGTGGGATCTCCAAACTGCAAGAAGCACCTCAGAATAATTATTCCACAAAATATATTTTAAAAGTATGTGTAGTTGTTATACTGAGATTTCAGATATTTCTCCTAACTGCTGGTTATTTTTAACTTCCTCAGTCTTGCCTCCTTTTTGTTTTAATTTGTACTGAGAAGCAGCTTTACCACATTTTGGTGAAACTTCTGATGTTTAAAATTGCTTGGAGTTGTATACTGCATACAAAGCCAATTATTTAGATTGCTGTTTGTTGAAATTAGTATTCTAACAATGTGGTGGAGCTTTAGCGTAAGGTAAAAGAGTTGAACATTGAAGCAAACACCTTACCTTCAACACATGAAGGTTGAGCTCGGGTTGTACCAGCCACTTGTCCTGGAAAACAAGAGCATTTCACCGTTTGTGACCGTTCCTCAATTTTGTTCTTATTGCAGCACCGATGGACAGCAACAACCTCACATGTGCCCTGTTTGACCTGATGACCTGAAAGAAAGAGAAAGCATAAACAGTATGTTAACTAATTTATATGAATAGCTACAAGGGAGAAAATTTATAACACAGTGTTGCAACTATTGACAGCATTCCAAAGCGTCTTAGCAAAGTGATAAGACTAGACAAGACTGAAATGTCAACTCCATTTGTCTTTCAGTCTGTCTTCAATTTCCCAAAATAAAATACATAATCTACTATTACTATTCAATGACCTTAGGTAGTTAAAATAGAACTGAGTAAATGCACAGAGGTTGAACCAACAAGTTAAACCCAAATAATAATTTGAAAGTGTTAGTTATACCCTAAGACTTTTGTTAAATATCTTAAGTCAAAGGGGCTATCCGTAATAAAAACCTTAATTGATAAATGCAAAATAAATTTCTTGATGTGCAGAAGATAAAAAAGGTACAAGTAATTCATTTTACGTGTATCTTCTCTTTTCTCTATTTGGCTATTATCCTATCCTTTGTTACAGAGTATACTTCAATGGAAAAGAAATGAGGAGGAAGAAAGCAAGCAACTGGTTCCACAAGCTCTGCCATGAGCATAAGAGAGTGAGAGTGGCCAAGGTGACTACTCCCATTTGCATTGTGGCAACATGAAGCACCAGGAAAATGAGCCTTACCATTCTGTGATACAATTGGCTGTAATTCCAGTGAGGCTCCGGGGCAGAATATGCTTTCCAAAAATCCAAGGAACCAATTTAATGAATGGTTATTATTAATTTATAGCTGAGTATTGTGCAAAAAGAGAGCAAAACCTCTAAGGAGCACAAACAGAAGTACATCCCTATTCAAACTGAACTGTCAGTGTAGTAAAAATACTCTTTAATCCAAATGAATATTTATGAAATCCTAGCGAGAAAAGTTGTCTCTTCACAGCGACTTCCCCAAGCTGACTAATTCTCAAATGTGTCAAATTCATGCCCAAAGCCACAAATGCTTGAATAATTATTCTAAAATTAAGCTGCAGCATCTATAATGGCACAACATCTATAGTTACTGGTGTTCTTTAAAAATAAAAGGTCATTTTTTATGATGTTTGTCACAGAAGCCTCTGTCCAAAAGCTGACCTCCTGCCTCACCAACTGTATGTTTGATTCAGCACAAGAAATCACTAAGATTGAAAAGAATAGTGGGGGCTTCAAAATAAATAAAGACAATATAATTGACCAATGGCAAGATACATTTTAAAAGCCTGAACATCTCAAAAGGGAAGCAACATATAAAGTGGTTAAGAGCACAAGATCTTTTCCTTTCATTGGTAATATATCATCATTTGGAATTGCTGTAAAGACAAGGTCAAAGACCATTAAAAAAAAAGTAGCCTCTTCTTTCAAAAAAAAAATTTTCTGCACCAGAGATCAAAGCTGAGCCTAAATGTAACATAGTAGAAAAGGACTAGAGAATACTTTTAAAATCTACCCAGAAATAACATGTAATTTGCTTTATTTTGTGTAACTAATTAACAATATAATTATTATTTTCATGATACTCAGTTTAATTCCCAATGATGTTTCAATGCGTATTCACATCAGGACATTGTAAAATATCATTAATCCTGTGGTGTAATCTAAATAGATATAACATAAAATCAGAAATTTCCCCAGTCCTAATTAAAGGTCATTAACCTGAAACATCAGACAAAACCTAATGGTCACAGCAGGGAGCCCTTCCACTAGCTGAAAAACCAGTAGAATCACCATTTTTGGGACGCTATGAATTCAGTACTCAGTTGAGATCTTGCTGCTGAGGGTCAGCTCCTGTGAGGGGAATTTTACCCAAGAAAGTTTAGGAAAGGGCAGACGGCTTGCTTCCCATGATCTGCTCACCAATCTGAGGCCTAAAACTTTCCAATATCAGCAACGCCACCATGAGTGGTGGCCACTGTCAGTACTGAAGTATAACTGTGGACAACAGGAAAAAGGTGAGTGGAGTGGTTTTCCCAGCACCAGACAGGACCTGATGAGGTTGGGAAGGTGCAAGTCAACATGATCGAGAAAGAAGCTCTTACTGCTCCCTCCATTCCAGCTGGTGGTTGTTGATATCCTGCAAGGAGAGATCACTCTCCATCAGGTGCCCAGGCCTACCGGCAGGGGTTCCTAGTGGGAAACCCATGTATCAAAGTCCTCAAGCAGCTACTGGTTAAATACCAACAGTGGGGGGTTAAGGCCCTTAAGAAACCATTTTAGGTGCTTCAATTGGTTTCCAGTCAGAAAGGTGATCCTTGAACATTCCCACACCAGATTTAATCAGAGGGAAGCAGAAATCAGATTGTAAGAGACTGAAGAGTTGGGAGATTGTAACGATAAATCAGAGTCGGTGAGATCACATGGATAGATCACAAGGGGACAGATCACAGGAAGAGAGATCGTATGGATAGGGGAAGTGATCAAAGCGAGAGATCATGAAGTGAGAGATCACAAGGGAGCAATCACAATGATAGATCACAGAATGAGTGATCAAAAGGTTAGATCACAGGGAAATGATCACAGGGATGAACAGAAAGGGAGAGGTTGTGGGGTTAGTTCACTGAGGGAGACTTTTTTAGATCACTCCTTCAGGGGAGAGGTGCGGGGGAAACATTGTGGGAGAGAAATATTAGGGATAAGATAGCTGAAAACCGCTGGATGGGGATGTTTGCAAATCACCATCAGCTGATGGATAGGTCCCAGTAGAAGACTTACTGTGAAGGGACTATGGGGACAGCATCGCTCCTGACAGTGCCAAATGAGTATTTACCTGCTGGATCTGGCATCTCACACTTCCTTTCAACTGCTGGGTTTCTCAAGCCCTGGAGGAGGTGGCACACAGGCCTTCAATCAGAGTGTAAACCAATGTCTCAGTTAAATATTGTAATCTCTGGTCACTTCTACTTAGATGTCCCCACTTTCTAGGCATATGGTATCAAATTCTCAATGTTGACTGCTTAAATAACTTCCATCAATCTTTTTCAAACTCATTGTCTTTTTAAAAAATGTGTCCCTTTTTTAAAATTTAAATTTTTTAAATTTGAGTCCTATTTTATGAATTAAAGGATCACCAGTGTGGGTCAACAAATGGCAGTCACTGTTCATTATACTTGTCTTTGCTTTTTCATCTCAAAAATAACTTGTTATATAGCCCGCTTAGCATAAACAAAACAACCCAAGGTGCTTTCAGGGAGTATTTTAAATCAGATTTGACACCATGACAATGTAGTGATTGGAATGAGGTCAGCCAAGTGGACACATAGAATATGAGTTCCCTGATTGGAGCACAGATATAAACAGGAGTGCCAGGAGTTCTGTTCACTCAGAGCTGACTCTGAGCTAACTGGGTCCGTGTCATGTACTATGCATGTGCAAATCAAGGGTGACTCGGTGACTGGATACCAGCCGATATGGAGTTATTTCAGTTACATGAGGAAATAATGGTCCAGATCTTTCTGGCAATGGAGATGCTGACGTATAAGCATTTAAAGACACTTTTACATCTTTCTCGGAGGGTGTAATGAGAATTTTCTCAACCGTTTAAGGGTGAATCCATCAGCCAAGTAAGTAGGAAGGCTGATGGAAAGACACAATTCTAATGTATCAAATTTGACATCCATTGAGGTCTGCCTTCAACTCAATGGAGTCGCACCCTCAGTTCTGCTCCACCTCCTCACCCCATCCCTGCATCCCTCTCCCTCAAGTTCTGCTCAGCCCTTCCCTATCCCAGCACCCTCTGGTTCTGCTCTCCCCGCCTCCCCACCTCACCTCATTTCTGCATCGTACCCTCTTCTGCCAGCTCTGCCCACACAACCCCCTCCCTGGTTCTATTCACCCTACGGTTGTGGTACGGAGTCAAGTATGGGAGGTGGGGGGGTGGCATTCCCTCTAAATTTCTTTGCATTTGCGCGGGACTCTGATGTCCATGCGTAACAGTAACTTCCAGAACTGGAAATGAATGCTGTGATCAGTGTTCCAATGCCAAATGCTGTGCATGGAACTTTGGAGCATGCAGCTTAAATGAAATATTGGATTGACGGTGAACAGAGTCAAGGTCGGAGGGTGGTGGCATGTTTGTAGGCAGGGTGAACATGTACTAGAGGTCTGGGGTCTTTGAGGTGAACCTGTGGTGCAAGGAATGGAGGTGGGTGTGGGGGACAGCAGCAGGGGTGATGGTGGCAAAATGGTAATGTCTCGAATTCCAGAGGCCCAAATTGGTACTGTGGTGGGATGGGTTCAAATCCCACCATGATGCTATTGGAGCTCAAATTCAATTAATACATCTGCAATATAATGATAGCTGTTATTGGCTGCCATTACTGAGACCGAGACTATCATTATTGTTTAAAAGCCCATCTGATTTCTTTATAGAAACATATCTCCCATCCTTCCCTAGACATGCGTGTGATACCAGGCAACTGTCCCCTAACATGACCCAGCAAACCCACTCAGTTCAAGGACGATTTGGTGTCACAGAATTGTAGAATCCCTACAGTGTGGAAGCAGACTAATCAGCCAAACAAGTCTTACTACCCCTCTGATGAGCATCACTCCCAGACCCATCCCCCTACACTATCCCTGTAACACAGCATTTCCCATGGCTAATCCACCTAGTCTACATATCTTTGGACTGTGAGAGGAAACAAGTACACCCGGGGGAAACCCATGCAGACGTTAGGAGAATATGCAAACTACACAGAGACAGTTGCCCGAGGGTGGAATTGGACCCAGGTCCCTGGCGCTGTGAGGCAGCAGTGTTAACTACTGTGCCACCCTCTGGGATGGGCAACCAATGCCAGTAACACCCAAACTGGAAAGAATAACCAAAAAAAAAACGATCAAACAGTTCAGATCTGATTGGGGCTGCCTTGTTTGGTTTTTAATTTTCTGCTGTTTCTCATTGTAAGTACAGTTTAATTAACTTGCAGGTAAAAGAACATTGGATTCGTCTGAAAATGCAGATAGAGGTTTCTTTGCTTTGTCGTCATTGCACATCATTCCAAGCTGTTTGAACTAGCTG